GTATTTATCCATTTATTTTTCAGGTGAGCGGACAGATGTTGAGTGTGTGGTCCTGTGTTTTGTTGGTGTATATTTAATATACTTCTATTCTCTATTTCAATCTTTCTAATTACTTCTCTCTCTGTTTTTCTCTCTGTCTCTATTTTCTCTTCACTTAAAAAAGTCACTTATGATGAAGAAATAAATAAACTAAATAAACTAATATTTGGTTTCGTTTTCTACTGAAGTGACACACAAAAAGGAGATTGTTGCATCCTCTGTATTAAAGCAAAGATGGACCAACTGGCTTGTTATCATCTCATAGTTCAAATGTCTGCCTCTCTGATTGTATGGGGGTACATAAGTGTGATCCATACAGAAAGTATAAACAGATTTTAGAACATGTGCTCTCATCCAAATGTTATCTTGTTCAGCAATGTTGAACCACAGGTGTGGCTGGTCCATAAGGACAGGCTGCATTGCTAAAATATTCATTCACTCCACAAAGTAGTTCCTCCAAAAAAAAATGTAAATAACTTATTTACTTTGGCGTTATTTTGTTTTGTGTTTAGTCTTCCCATTTTTTTTCTTTTTGTGTATAATGCAATTTGGTGTAAAAACTTTTAACATTAAAATTATATTTTTCTCATCATGAAAGTCAGATGTTTGACATAAAATGCAGAAGTAATTTTAAAGAGAGATGCAGTTGAGCTCTTTTGATTTTATGCTGCCATAGTCATACAGTAGATGTCTCAATAAGCAACAAAAGCATGCAGTATTCATTCTTGCCCTTACTACCATTCTTTAGGTGAAATCTGTAACAAGCAGGGGGTGTTTAATACTATCACACTGGTGTTTTAGTACCTGTGCTTTCAGCTCAGTCTGTAATATCTGCATGTGAGAAAGAGGTGAAAGGCATCTTGGGAGAAATGATGCAAAAGGGATTTATAGGAGGCAGAGAAGGAGAATGCGAGAGCACTTGGATCTCATTAGCTGCGTTTTTCAWTCTCATCATATAGAATTTTCTCAGAATGGTGTCCTACATTGTCCTTGGCATCCTTGAAATCAAGTGTTTTTTTCCCCACATAAAGTAGACAGCAGTTTTAAAGGTGCTGTGCCTGGTGACTTGAGTCCTCGACCATCGTCCAAGCCCAAGACTCTGTGCAAATCCATCATCGTTTTTTTTTATAATTTTTTTATTTTTTTTTTTGCAGTCTACTGCCCATTTGATGAATGCAATCAAGTTGACATTTAGTTTGGACAACTCGGCTTTATTTGTAACACGTTAAAAAACAACTGTTGGTCAAAACACTTCACATAATACAAATGAAGACAAAGATCATAAGAACAATAAAAACAAATATAATACACCGCAGGAAAAAAGAACAGAAGCGGGATAGTCAACTCTCATGTTGAATCAAAGGCTTTTGAAAAATAAATGCATTTTAAGATAAAATTTAAAAACACCAAGAGACCTGTCTGATGTAAAGGAGCAGCTTGTTTCATAGGAGACACAACTGAAAAGGCCCGATCACCTCTATGGGCCAGCCTGGACCACAGGACAACCGAGCAAATGAGCATTACATCTGAGCAGTTTTTTTTTTTGTTTTGTTTTTTTTTGTCCTTGAAATTTTAAAGGTTTGAAGCATCTTATACCTAAGTGAAGCAGTCAAACAGTGGTTTTAATAAAGAAAAATGACAGTGCTTTAGCTGAAGATATATAAATTTGTCATCTCCATTGACAAGAAAAGGGATGTTGAATTTTCTAGAAACGGAGCCTAAAGGGAGCATGAAGCAGGAAAAGAAAATGGGACCAAGAATGGATCCTTGGGGAACTCCACATGTGAAGGGACAGTAGAGCCAACGTAAAACACTGAAATGAAGGCAGTCAGGATGCCCTCAATGGTGCTTCTGTAGAACTGGGTACACACTTCAGTGAAGATGTTTGGCCTTTTTTAAGCATCCTAAGTTCATGCATCCTCATATTAGTTTTCTTTAAAACCTTGTTTGTTCTGCCCATGTCCAGTTCTTGGTGATGGAGATGTCCAAGAACATAGCAGTTCACCTTCTTTACAGCATTTTTTTAATGAGATGAGGTCGTGGAGGAGTGTTTTAGAAGTCAATGATCATCTCAGCCATTTTCAGATAAATTGCATATCTAACAGACACAGCTTTTAAAGTCAAATAAACTATAATGCCTGACCAAACTAAACTTTAGCTCAACTAAAACATATAATGGACATCCCTCTTGTTCACTTATGTACATAATATAGGCACTAAAGCGTATAATAATCATTGTTTGACTATTTTACCACCATTAAAAATAAGTTGAAATGTTGAATTTATTGTGATCAAATACAAAATAATAAAACTATTTAGACTTAAACTTCATTTTCAAAATATACCTGTTTTGCATCTAATATTTTGATGGTGATGCAAAAATCTTGGATATGTATGTATGTGTGTATTGTGTGTGTGTGTGTGTGTGTGTGTGTGTGTGTGTGTGTGTGTGTGTGTGTGTGTGTGTGTGTGTGTGTGTGTGTGTGTGTGTGTATAAACAACATATAAACAATTTAAACGTCATACTAAGGAATAAAAAGAACCCTTCAGATGGGTTAAGTGAAAGTGACATAATTCTCAAATGAGGGATTTTGTCATTGCCGTTTAAAGATTAAAAGGAACCAGCAAAAAATTTAAGGGGCAAGGCCGACAACAGTATTAACTTACCCATTTCAAAGCCTAAAAAAATAACTTTTCTACACTAGAATTTTTTTTAAGTATGTGAAAATTATTGCTTGTATTAGTTTGTCTTTTAGGCACAAAAATAATGGTGAACATCACACGCATGATGTCTTGCATCATCCACTTTTAGTTCACTAAAGTTATATTTTGTTCCTAACTGAAACTGCAACAAAGAAGTTCAGAGTCAGTGTCCAAATCGAAATGAAATTTCAGTTACCTCTGACAGTGACGAAACAAACAGCAGCAATCGTGATAAAATGAGGAAGTGTATGCGAAGAACTGTTGTTCGTTGCTATTTAAAGACGAGAAACTGTGGTCTGACCATAAATATATGTGATAATATATGGGTCTGATCGTTTATTTCAGCTTGATTTTATGAAAAATTGTACCACTCTTGAATAAATTCACAGACTTTAGCAATGAGACTGTCTTCATAATAATACAGTGATAAGTCACTGTGGATTGCAATTGCATGCAATGAAAAGAGGAAGACATAAAAAAAATTTGTTATACAGCAGCTTGAAATGCTGAAGTTAAATGAGAAATACATTGAAAAATAAAAATGCCTTCACGCCTTATTTCTAGCTCGGAAATTTTCATTTTCTTTTGTTCCTGAYATTGTGCTGTTATATGTTTTTTGACTATTTGAATTTATTTTTAATAAAACGTTACGATTACTGTTACAGTACACATTCTGTGAGTTCTGGAAGTTTTGACATCAACACTTCGGACTAAATAAACTGCGAACCTTCCCCTTTAACGTGAACACGTAAACGCAACACCAAATTTACTGATATAAACGTGAAACATTAACTTCCGGGTAACGGTGTCGCGCAGAAAGGCGGATCCCTTTTTGCCACTTTGTCTTTCAGAACTTTTGTAGAAGCAGTTTCTACTAAACAGTCCTTGCTGTGCTGTTTTATCTAAACTTGGTACGTGTTGTAGTGAAACATTTCTACATTCAGTCGAGTTCTTTTGACTGCAGGTATTACCGAAAACAGAGAGTACTTTCTCTCTCTCAGGCTTAGCTCGCTAACTTTGAACGCTGTCGTCAGCTGCCCCGCARCACTCAAAGAAACACACAGAAAGAAGATGGAAGATAAAGAACTGATGTGGGCATTGAAGACCGGAGATTTGGACGAAATTGTAAACAAGCTGGTAACGGTAAGCAGACTACTCTGGATTAACTGTTTGGCAATTTCTGTGAGCTAATCTGACAGGTGGTGGTTTAGCTCTCGTACAGTGGACGTTTTATTTGCAGACATGCTAACTCGCTAACAACACTAAGTTGAAGTGAATTTGGTAAACAAGAATAAGCAAACTGTTAGCTTGCTGGAGAACGTGTAATTAACGAGCATTAAACGGATTGTGTTTGTGAACACATCTAATCCCGTATCGGAACACAAACCCGATTGCTACGTTAGCATTGTTAGCAACTTGACGTGGTAGCTACTCGCCATGGCTAGAGAAAAAAATAGGGCTATTGTTGTTTTACTTTATTTTTCTGACTTCGTTATTAAAGTGTAGCTATTTTTAAAACAATGGGCTGTGACTAGTTTACATAATGTTTAGTTCGGCTGGCATTAGCAACCTGTTGGTAAGCTAACCAACATTAGCTAGCTAGTTTGACGGATAACTCCCATGTTTTATTATGATGACCAAGTAAGTCATGATAAAATAGCGTGCACGTATCAGATATTGGATAACCCTTTATCTATTATCCAATAGCTAGCAGTATGACTGAATATAGTATAATGTGTGGTGTTTAGCTCGTAKCTACTTAGCTATTAAACCAGACAGGCCCACGGCTCAGCATTGTCTAGGTGGGCGGGGGTCTCAGCTGACGTCTTGTAAAACCAGTTTATTTTTAACAATTAACCAGTAATTACGGTCTCTTAATTTGTGTGAAATGAAGGAAACAAAAGACTTTTGTTTTGAGAAAAGCTGTCCCTCAGTCTGGCATTTGAAGCAGGACATCAGCTGAATATTTTTATTTGGGAATTTGATTCTTACCTATTTGTGCTGCTTAGATGACTCCACTACCCCCATGACACATGACTAATGACCATTGACAGGTGAAATGGCTAAAAACTGATTATCTTATTCCAGTGGTATGAGGTAAACTGAGCAGCTTGTCCTGTAAGTTGACATGTTGCAAGAAGAGACGGGAGAAAAAGGGAGGGAATAAATAGTCTTTCAACAGCTTTGACCCAGCCAGATTATAACGGTCAGGGTTGAAAAGTATCACTTGCATATTTCACATTCTTACTACCCACCAGTTGTCCTTTAAAAGTTATTTAAGCGGTCCTATCTGCATTGCAGAAACCAGATAAAAGTCCTTGCGAAGGCTCCGCAATTTTCGTAAACCTTCGCATAACTRCGATTTCCTGCAAGGGTCTGTTTTACAAAGTTTCACAGAGCAGGWCAACTGGAATGCGGTAAACTGGGAGATGACGCCCTTCCGACTTCCCAGTTCATACTTTCGAGGTAAATGGAATGCAGCATTATACCTAATTGGCCTTAAAGTAGCCAAGATAAGAAAGCCACAACTGTAAAGTGCGCTTAGGAACAAAGAAATGATTGTGATATAAAAAAGTCCCTTTTAAAATACCCTGCTATTTGCTGTCAAACTCTTATTCTTAGCTGCTAACTTTCATAATGACTGTTTGCTTTATTAGTGTCACTATAATTAGTGCTTTGAGCTGTTTATAGTATTAAATGTGAGAAAGTCTGTCATTCTATAATTACTTGCACCATTGACGTACAGTCTCATGAACAATATTCTGAAATAATACAAAAAAACTGACTTGATAAATCGTGAATGAAACACTTCAATTTTACCAGCTGTTTCACCCACAGCCATTGATGGCAGCCTTTTAAACACTATTAGGAGACATTGAGTTTCAATATTCATCACTGCTAATGGATTCAGTGGAATTGGTTATAAAATGAAGAATTGTGTTCATTATGTTGAAGTTGACCTTCAGTGGAGTTTGTAATAAGGGTGAGTGGGTGGCAGTGGGGCAGGGTGGATTATGATGTGGTTCTGAATAGGGCGGTTGTCTCAAATGAGGCTTTGTGAGAAATGTTATCCCGTCCATTCAAACCAGGAATGAAAAGGAAGAAAAAAAAATCAAGCACTTATTTCATTCCTTTTTGTTTTTTATTCACACACGCTTTTAAATTTGTAATTAGCATTTGTTTAAATAATCTGTTTAAAAAATAGTGATAGATGTACATTAGGTTGAACAATTGAGCATTTGCTTTGATTTTATGATGGTGTGTAGGGTCCTCAAGCTCTGGTCTACCTGTGTCCTCCATGCTCGTTTGTTGTGGTCTTGTTTTATCTTTCAAACAAGGAGCATWGAATTCTGCACATTAGTTTTGTATGGTTTAAAACAACACTGCATATACTCAATACACATGCGAGCCAAACCAAAAAGGTCACATTGAAAATATTTGGTACAGATTTGTGAAGTGTTATGCTCCAATAAGTAAGGTTATCTACAGCGGGTAAAATAAGTATTGAACACATCACCATTTTTCTCAGTAAATATATTACTAGAGGTGCTAATGACACAAAATTTTCACCAGATGTC